AATAATAAATAAATAAAATAAATAATAAAATAAATAAATATTTAGCCATGCTGCAAGATCATGATTTTATGAGAAGAGGTCTTCACACATTTTTAGGCATCATAAAGGAGATATACAAAAAAATTAATTTATTTGATTATCTACCTGCATGTCTCTGTAGGTCTGTTACAATATGGGTCAAATTACTTCTGCAAAAAAACTGATAAAGAAGGCTTTGAGTTTACTGAAGAAAAGATTCCCAATAACTGTTGTAGGAGCCTTTTGCATGTTTATGGTGGAAACCTCCAAACATTTGTCTCATCAGAAGAAACAAAGTTTATGGCAAATATCCAGTGGGTAAGGATACTGGCAAACTATTTATATAGGCTGGGTGTGGATGGACTGCAGTGGGGGAAGGGAGAATTTTAGAACAGAACAGAACAGAGTTGGAAGGAACCTCCTCTTTGTGGCAGCCCGTCATATATTGGAACACTGCTATCATGCCACCCTTAGTCCTTCTTTTCACTAGGGGTCCTTCTTTTCTTTTCTTTTTTTCAGGTTGTAATTCCTGCAACCATTCTTCATATGTTTTAGCCTCCAGCTCATTATTCATCTTTGTTGCTCTTCTCTGCACTCTTTCTAGAATCTCAACATATTTGTTTATAGTGTGGTGACCAAAACTGGATGCAGTATTCCAAGTGTGGTCTTACCAAAGCCTATAAAGTGGTACTAACACAATTTTACTCTTAAGAATCTCTTGAGCATACATGAATGGTAACTACTGGGTAGAGACCTGGCTACATTCATTTATAGATAATGAGAGGCTCGGTCTAAAAGCAGTGACTCTGCTGACCAAGAATTGGACAAAAAGTCAGGGCTACTTTATGCATTTCGTAGACATTCCACTATTTTTCTAACCTAGTTCTCATTAACTTAAGCCTCTGATCTATGCAAGGAAACTTTCTTAAAAAGGACTAGCAATCTTTTTTTTTATACAGTAAATTTGCAATAGAGCTTTCAGATGCTCCAAAGTTATACTGGTTTGCTGGTCAACATCACTACTGTATGAGAGTTCTAGAGTGCAATGCATTTCCTTCTCTCTCACTATAAATCACATGCCGACTTGTTTTTACTAGTAAGCTACTTTTAGGCAAAAATGAAGTCTCAGCAGAGTCTTGGTGATCTACTGCTTTCACAGTACTGAGAAATAACTACTTTAATCCAAACTGACCATTCCTGTCTGTCTGTCATGACAGGAATTGAGTATAACTGACTGAAGCACTGATTCAGGTTCTCACAAGCATTTTGAAGTGGCCAGTTCATTTGAGGAACACCTTCACTTCTTCCTTTCCAAAGGCAACCTGAGCTCAGTGGGAGCTTAGGAATTGCCTCTTCAAGACATTTTTTATGAGTCTTTATTTGCCCTTCATTTTTCCTTATTTATTGTTTATCAAATTTATGCCTCTTCTCCAAGATGGTTGCTGAATGGTAGGAATATTTCTTTTTCCTACTGATGATCTGCTGATTTTGCTGCCTAAGCTGGTTCTCTGGCAGTGACATGGGAGCATTTAGGAGTAACCCAACATGGCTTTTGGATGGCCATGGACCCACTCGGAAAGGGGAGTCTTAAAGAGTGCAGTTCCCTGTGGGAGCAGTCGGAAAGTAACTGGTCATCCATTTTCCTCCTGGCAGTTTGTTTTCTTAAGTATGCCTGAGTTTTAACTTCACTTTTTGAATTTTTTGTTTCACTTTGATTTTTTTATCTTTAAAAGTTGACTGGCTGAATGTTGATTTATTTTTAACCCCCTGCTGGACTTTATCTGTTCTTTCTTTTTTTTGCCTTGGATTCATGCTGTTGTTTTGAATAACTTTTGCTTTTCTGTAAAAAAAACCTCAGCATGCTCTTGGACAGTGAAAGCGTTTTCATTTGATTTACATCTATATTGGACTTCACCACAGGATTTTCACATTTTATTAATTTGCAAAATATTTGGAGCTTATTTATTTTATTTTTTAACATTTGGATCAAAATATAAAAAAAAATTCTTCCCTGCTTCTTTATTTCTTCATTTTACTTCAGCTGTTTCTTGTGTTCTTTTATCTATCATTGTTTAGTTACACACAGCAACAATGTATTAGATTACAGACAAGCAAATGTGGCTGATATCTGAAAAAAGTCAATTTGTTAACATGCAATCCATAGTTGAAAGCTTTTTTAAAAGTTTTAAAAGTTTTAATGGTTGTGGAAAATATTCAGATGCATGTAGCTCTAGATAAATTAAAGTCAGCAGATATGTTGGGAAGAAATATGGACTGTAAGACTTAGAACTAACTGAGTTGATGGCATATGCCTCCCTGAACTTCAAGCCTGCATTGTTTTACAATAGCAGAAAGCTGAATGAGTGGAGAAGTGATAATTAGTTTTCCCTAGGAGGATTGAAAAAACATTTGGGAATGGTTAATTGGAAAACAATTTCATTTGGACTTTTTGGGGAAGATAGACCAACTTTGAAGACTGAATTTATTATATTTAACTGGACAACAATTAATAAGAGATAGTGTTAAAAATAAATGTGGATATTTGATCAAGACAAATTACTGTTAACTCTTGGGATGATTTGAGATAGATAGATTTTCTATGAATTACATTACAATATCAGTTTGTTAACAGAGGATGTTGAAACTTTAATCTTGCCTTTATTATTATTGTTATTGTTGTTAACTGTTTTGTCAATATAGTATATAGACAACAGATTAATAGTTTGCAAATAGATTTAGTAGTTTAAAAATTTGGGGGGGCTGTTTTGCAAGGGATAGGAACTAATATTGTAGTAATGTATTAATCAGTATTAAATTAGGGGTGATAATATGTGTACATGTGTTAGGTTTTCCCTTTCTTTAATGCACTTTTTTCTTTTTTAAAATGCACTTGTTTGTTTTGTGATTTGTCTTTGTTTTTTTTTTTAAATTATTTTTGGAGTTTTGTATTTTAACTTTTTTTAATAAAATAAAAATAGAACCAAACTTACATGACTGCCCATCTCAAAAAATGCTACTCTGAGCAGTATACAAGAAGTAATGAAACAAACTTCTAAAACAATCATTAATAAAAATAGAAACAATCATTAAAATATGCAAAAGGGACAGGAGAGAGTGAATAATAGAATAGCAGAATAACAAAGTTGGAAGGAATCTTGTAGGTCATCCAGACCTTCCCCCCCTCACTCAAGCAGGAGACCCTACCTTATTGTTTCTTTTGTTTTCTTGGGATTTGTGATTAGTTTGGGGTTCTAGAGATTCTAGAGATTGGTCACCCTCCCCCCTCAATTTTAGTTTAAAACCCTCCTGATGAGTTGGGGCCGTCTTTTTCCAAGTACATTTTTGCCCATTTTCGTGAGGTATAGCCCATCCCTTGCCAAGAGTCCCTCGTTTAAAAAATGCAGTCCGTGATCCAGGAAATCAAAGTTTTCTTGGTGACACCCACCCTTTAGCCAGTGATTTATTTCTGAGATTCTTTTTTCTCTCAGTGGGTGTTGGCCTTTTGTTGGGAGCACTGACGAGAACACTACTTGTGCTCCTAGCTTCTTAACTTTGTTGCCTAGTTGTTTGTAGTCTTTCACTATTGCACTCAGGTTGTTTGTTGTGTCGTTCATTCTGATGTATAATAGGAGGAGGGGGTAGTAGTCTGTGGGCCTAATTATTTTGGTTAGGTTCTCGGCTACATCTTTGATTTTTGCTCCAGGGAGACAGCATAGCTCCCTGGATTGTATGTCTGGTCTGCAGATGGATGATTCTGTTCCTTTGAGGATAGAATCTCCTATTACCAACACTCTCCTTTCTTTTGGGGGGGGGCTGCATTCTGGGGTGCTTTTCTGTTTGTCTCAGGTGTGTTTGTTGGTATGGCTTTTTAAGGGGTATTTGAGGTGGCTTTTTGGAGGATATTTGAAGTTGTTTCTTTGCTAGGTGTCTGCTTGTCTTCTTTGAGAGGGAGGTTGTGGGTTTGCATGTTTCCTTCTAAGGGGAGAAATTGATTGGTCAGTTTTAATGGGGCTGCTTCTAGTTGGGTAGGATTGAGGAGAAGGAGTTTGTTTGTTGTATGCTGTTTCTTGCTTTGAGTGTTGTGTTTCCTTCTGTGTGTGACATACCTCCATTTGTCTTCCTCCAAGGATTTATCGGTAGGGTCAAATCCTCTGGGAGTTATTTGTTCATTGTTTGGCTTGGTTTGGGTGGAGCTTTCTTTCATATGTAGGGGTTTGGCTAGAGTTGCCTCTAAATTCCTAATCCTTTTCTAGTAGTAGTTCACATAATTTGCATCTGATTCATGTGTAGTTTGGGTGTTCTTTGGGCATCAGTGCATACATGGAACATGTATTGCATATCATTCACCTGTTCCATGTCTTTGGTTTTTGGTAGTCCCTCTTTTTGGTTGTGCTTTGGTGTTAACTTTGTTCCTAGCTTTTCTGTTTGGGGTAGTTATGGCTGTTTTGTTGTCCTTTTTTTCCCCGGTCAGCAGAAGGGAAAGGGAAAAAAATAAAAAAAATAAAAAACTGCCATTGTCTGCAGGCCTCTGGGTCCTCCGCTGCTGCCTCACCGCTACTTGCAGGCCTCCCAGTTCGCTGCTGCTGCCTTGCCTCTGGCTGCAGGCCTCCTGATTGACAGGGGGAAAAAAATCTGCCATCGCCTGCAGGCCTCTGGTCCGCCACTGTAGGCCTCTCAGTTCTCCGCTGCTGCCTCACCACCGTCCGCAGGCCTTCGGTTCACCACCGCTGCCCCGCTGCCATCTGTGAGCCTCCCGGTTCTCTGCCACTGCCCCACTGCTGTCTGTGGGCCTCCCAGTGTTCTGCTGTTGCCCCACCACTGTCTGTGGGCCTCCTGGTTCTCTGCCGCTGCCCCACCATCATCTGCAAGCCCTCCTGGTTCTCTGCCGCTGCCTCGCTGCTGTCTGCTGCCCCACTGTTGCCTGTGGACTTTCCGGTTCAATGCCCAGACACAGCTTACAGTTTAAACTCTTTCATGTCCTTAGAATCTATAGTCCTGGAGATTATGGCTGGAAAAAAAGAAGAATCTTTTGGGTTGCCTTTCTTTACAGGATGGATTACAATAAAAATAAAAGTTTTGAAGTCATCTAACTTCTCTGGATTACAAATACAGCTTGACCTGGAATTTTTACAAGCTGTTTTGAGACAGAGTGAATAATAAGAAACTTCTACTAGCAGAACACTTTGATTACAATTTTGACAGTATACTTTTTCCTTTTTCCCCTTTTTTATTACTGCTATTTACCTCTCCTAGACAGATTAGGAATGCAAGTTACAATTGACAAGAAAATGGTAAAAGAACATCTATTCATTCTAGAAGAGTTCAAATCACCAAGTCCAGATGGATTACATCTCAGGTTCTGAAGCAACTAGCAGATATGATCTCAGAACCACTGAACCATATCTTTCAAAGTTCCTGAGAACCACCAGAGGACTGGAAAAGAGCTGACATGGTTCCTTCTAAAAAAGGGAAAAAAATGGATCTAGGAAACTACAATCCTACCAGCCTGACATAAATATCTAAGAAGATCCTGCAAAAGATAATTAAGCAATGAATCTGTGAATATCTAGAGGCTAGCAAAGTTATAACCAGAAGCCAACATGGGTTTGTCAAAAACAGATATGCCAGACAAATCTTACTGCATTCTTTGACAAAGCGACTAAATCAATGGGTCAGCGAAGTGCTGCGGACATAATTTACTTGGGCATTTGATAAAGTAGACCACAACTTTATCAGTAAGGCATTTGATAAAGTAGACCACAACTTACTACTTGATAAGATAGAAAAATGGGGGTTAGACTGCATCACCACCAGATGGATTCGTAACTGGCTGACCAACTGCACTGAATGTGTAATCCTCAATGGAACTGCATCTACATGGAGGAAGTATGTAGTGGGTTATCTCAAGGTTCTGTGTTAGGCCCAGTACTCTTCAATATCTTCATCAATGATTTAGATGAGGGGATAGAAGGGGAACTCTTTTTGCCAATAGAAGATAGGCTCAAGATCCAGAAAGATTTTTACAGATTTGAACACTGGGCCCTATCTAACAAAATAAAATTCAGTGGTAAGAAAAATAAGGTTTTACACTTAGGAAAGAAAAAAAAACAAGGCTTTATAATGGCTTGGTAAGTCCATACTTGGAATATTACATCCAGTTTTGGTTGCCACAATATAACAAAGATGTTGAGACTCTCAAAAGAGTGCAGAGAAGAGCAATAAAGATTAGGGGACTGGAGGTTAAAACACATGAAGAATGATTGCAGCATTTGGGTACATCTAGTCTAATGAAAAAAAGGAGTAGAGGTGACATGATAGCAGGGTTCTAATACTTGAAGGGCTGCCAGAAAAAAGAGGGGTTCAATCTATTCTCCAAATTACCTGAAGGCAGGACAAGAAGCTGGAGCTTTTTAAGATGAGATTGGACAGCCATTTGTCTGAAATAATATAGGATCCCTGCTTAATCAGGAAGTTGGATTAGAAGATCTCCAAGGTTTCTTCCAACTCTGTTGTTCTGTTAGATGCACAATCATTCTGCCTTAGTCTGCGTAGTATTAGTACAGCTTCCAATTCATTATATATTGTATAAAAAACCAACGAACAATACTATACAGAACATTTCAGGAAATCATAACCCCCCATTTCTTGATGTCAAGTTTACATGGTACAGGTGAAACTCGAAAAATTAGAATATCGTGCAAAAGTTCATTTATTTCAGTAATGCAACTTAAAAGGTGAACCTAATATATGAGATAGACTCATTACATGCAAAGCAAGATAGTTCAAGCCGTGATGTGTCATAACTGTGATGATTATGGCTTACAGCTCATGAAAACCCCAAATCCACAATCTCAGAAAATTA